AAGACGTATCGTCGATGTGTCATAAAGAATGTGCCACAGGAAAAAATCAAGAATCAATTGTCGAACACAACGACTTACCGCGCAAGTGCCGCAAACCGTTTGGAAAACTTGGAAAAAGAAACGGGTCACGCCGTTGGTTTTATAATAAACAAATTAGCTATTTTACTGTTAAAAATAACTATGCTAAAATCGCGTTCAAGGGTATGAAATACACAGCTATGCGGGTATGCCTATCATTCCTACGTGTTTTACACCTATCTCTTATTATAAATGTCTATTGACCGCTGTCGTTTCCAACAATAGAATGGCTAATCCGTATTTATTATATTATTAAAAAATCGACGGTCACACTCGCCGCCCATTGTTTCCGAACACGGCCGATTACGCGCTACGTTGCCGATCGTTCGATAAATTATAAGGGAAAAAATCATTGACATAATAACGTGCTTGATATAAAAATATACTAGCAAATTCCGCAAGTAAACCGAGCGACGATTTTAACACAATTTACTCAGTTCAATAAGCCACTGGGAGACTCAACCTAAAAATATGCACTACCTCCTGATAATAAATCATAAAAATTATAACACAAGTCGTAATGGGCAACAGTTAAAAACATATTTACCGAATAGTTTCGCCATAGACCGATTGCGTAAGAACCAGAAATGTTCAACAACGTTTGTTTTTCGCTTTTATTAAATTCCCAGTCGTGGGAAAACTTTCTTGCTTCCTAAACCATATGGTCATTTAGATATTTTCTACCACAACTTGGCACCACTGTTGGCAACTGTTTTAGACATTGCACAAATCGCGAACGCGTTATAACAAATATTACTTCAAATATATTATGCACATAATTATTATCGGCTATTATTGGGCAACATTTATTATCTTTTGACATGTAAGCGACCTGAACGCGAGCACACCTGCCTTCAATTAATATCGATGATAGTATGAATAATAATGTCCAGTCGCCGCACTGCCGCGGTGTATGATATTACAATTTTTTCATAAGATCTATATTATCTTCAAATCGGTGTAGTGCCATCCCGGACAAGGTTAACATATGGCAGCAATTAAACCGCCAGCCTTCGCCGAGTAATAGAAAAAAAAAAGGTAAAGCCAAATGTGATGACACCGACGCTAGTAGGACATTATTTACGGAATTCTCAGCGCGTTGTCGTTGTAATAATATTATTTGTTCAAAACGATATTAGAGAAAAGACAATATTAATTTGCGAACACGGTGGTAGGTGCAGCGTTTTCGGTTCAATTGAAAATAAACACTCGCGGGGTGGAGTTGGTTAATTTAATTTACACACAAGTCACGATTTTCTCAAAGTCCCAAAAAAAAAAAACTATACCCACATAAAAAACGTTCATTGAAGCAGAAATATGTTTGTTAAGCATATTATTATTATTATTATTATTATTATTATCCTTCAACGTCGGGTTTTGGCCGAGCTCGTGCATTTCCATTGGCGTTATGGATTAGTGGCGAAAGTAAATTTCATCAATCTCCCTCGATTTACAATATTATTAGGAAACACAATGCACCTACTAGTATATGAAAAATACCGCCCAATAATAATAATAATAAACAATCGTTATTGTTGATAACAGCTGTTCCATAAACGTTTTCGTCGAATAACCACACGCTTTGGCCCAAACCATTGTTATCATTGCTATTATGTCCGAATATAATATTAGCAACGGCCCACACATTTGGATTATTCACACAGAAGATCAGTTAGATATTCCGTTTCGATACCTTAAGCTCAATATATGTAAATATAGAACTGACGACACCCGAGAAAGATAATTAATACAAGCCCCTTAATATACAGAGACCATCTCAAAGACATGCTCGATACATACAAATGTAGTACTATCAATAGTTAAAAAAAAAAACAATCTGGTACTAAAATATGAATCACCGGCAGAAATTTCAATGTACACAGCAGAAGCACTGTCAATTAGTAATCCAAAAACAATAGAAAATATGTTACTAAAATTGTAACTCAAACCGGTGAGAATATAAAGTGAGAACTATGTTTTAGGGCTATCTGGAATTACCCTTGATTAGATTAGATTCGGGTAAGATTTTGATGAAATAGGTAAGGTCGGGATATGAGGAAGGAGGGGAGGGAAATACCATAGAAACATCTGTGACAAACAGACCTACATTTTAGGGGATGCTAAAATTATGTGTACCTGACTAAACATAATTGTTATCTCCAAACCATTGGATATAAAAAAATATAACCGAGAACAAAAATGTTCTAAAATAAAAAAACTGAACAGAGTATGTGTATTTAAAGTATTATTGAAATTTTATGCGTACAAATCAGTAATTAGGGTTTGAATTTTTGAGGGTGCTAATTGTGAGTCTGGATTTTCGGTTGGATGTGTTCAACAGCACTGTCACTTGCTCGCCGAGGATTTCTTCATTAGGGCGATCCCAAGTGTGAACAAAAATGATTTCCTGTGATTTGTTATACTAATGTGAATCTCTCTACACTATCATTGTTGGCATGCCGTCGTGTAGTCGAATCAGGATTGCCGTCACAGGAATTCCAGTAGAATAGCAACAAAAGCAGTGTACTAAATCGGAAATCACTGGCTCTCGGTTATATGGTCCGTGAGTTCTTGTAGAGTTGTCTGCGCGGATCTTCGTCACGACCTTACCGGGAGCATAATAGTAGTACACTATATAATATATTCTATATATATATATATATATATATATATATGTATAGTCTACCCCATAATACGGTTAAAACAACCGCGTAATTATTAATGGCAAAACCGCTGTATTATGGAAGACCGACTCAATTCGTTTCTGTACACGGCAGGTTAGGTATATTGGCAACGTACGTTATTTTACAATATTTTTTTTTTTTGTCGTCTTAACTCTTGTAAGTAACGTCGTCGAGGTTTTCCTTAAGGCAACGGCCACGGAACGTGCGGAATTCGTACACGTTCGTGGGACGCAGCACTACACACGTGACTGTAACAGTGTCTCAACCCGAACGCAAAAAAAAGACAATCATTATTATTATTATTATTACCTTATAAAGGTGCATTATTCGTACACGGACGAAAACAGTTATTTTTCTCTTGAAAAAAATACATGTCGACACTATATTGGACATGGTCTCAACGAGGGGAGGAGGGCAACAAAAAAAAAAAATGACTGACAGAAACAATTTAACAGTTTATTGTGTGGCTACCGAACATTGTTTTTTATTATTTTTTTTTTTTCCGGTCTTCGTATTTTACTATTATGCGATTGGCCACTCGCGTTTACACGGGTGTTACTCGACGATTTAATTGTATTTCCAGTGCGCGGGTAAAATAAAACCGTCCGCGAGGGGTCGATTACACGTGGCCGTCCGTCTTTGGGTTTTGGCCGGGATTCTTTAAGAATGCCTCAAGTTTATGTGAAAAATACTTTATCAATGGCGTTCCGCTCGTGTATCTGCTCGTGGAATACCGGTCGATATAGAAAGTCTATGGGAACGTTATTACCGCGTTTATAGAAAACCAGATTTTGATTCCAAAGCGATTTACATAAACGAAATTACAAACGACCGACACACGTTCTTCGATTTTACACACACACACACACATTTAATTACAACAAGCCGACTTTGGCATAATATTCAGGTAAAATCTATTCGATCAACTATCAATTGGGTTCAATGTTTTTTTTTTTTTTTATTCGTGATTCGTCCAAGCTTTTTCTACTGCTATTCATGTCAAACACTGTAAACGTCCGAACGCCGCGTACCTTACTTAATTATAACAATGTTAAACTCCTGCAAAGGTACACCACGATTATACGAATATCGTTCGAGCCCATTAGACAGAATTTACCTGTTCACGCTCTCTATTGTTGTATTTCCTGTTCTAAAGCCATGAAAAAAAAAAACACATTTACACGCAAATCATCCTATCAATTACAATTGATAATTAATAAACAAAACGGAGAGATTTTATCAATTATTAGAGATGACAACAGTGCAAACGATTACAAGAAAATCATTTTCAATTAAATAACCTAAGTACAAACAGTATTGTCCCAGCTAAATTTTAAGGTAAACGACAAAGCAGTTTATTTTGATTTTTAATTTCGATGAAGTGCAAAGAATAGACGATTCGTTTTACATTGGTTTTCGAAGCTAAGGTATCAAAAATAAAGGTCTATAAAAAGACAAAACTCAAAAATTAATTAATTAATTAAAGACACATTTAATAGAGCCAGCATAATCAAACGTAGTAAAACATAACCCAATCATTATTGGTATGCATTTGAATAAACAACAACTGTTTGAATAACATAGATAGACAAATGAATAGTCAACAAACCACCCTTTATTATTATTATTTTTTAAATACCCTAAACCGTTATTTTAACGTTGAAAAGCACTATTAATGGTGATATTTTTATAATAAGCTGAATTCTAGGTGTAATATAATTTTGTACATTTTAGTAATTTATCAAAACTATAAGTACATAACACTGAAATGTATACTATCTTCAAAGTGCCTCAACTGGATCGTGGTAATTTTTTTTTTCTTATCTAATATTTGTGAAATTCAATAGCTGCCATTGATTGTAACAACATTATAGCCGATCACGAATGTGTTGTATTGTCTGTTGTATTCTAGGAGACTTTAACAAACAGTGTGTTTGCTAACTAATTAAATCGAAACCATCTGCAACTCCAACACGAGCGTTTTGATTTTTTTTCAGGGTGAGTCGTGTGTTTTGTTCCATGAAATGCCATGCACATTTCCTGGTCTTCGGTACAATAGGGGTTTGACAGAGTGGTTAAGTTACAATTAATAGGAAGCCAACCGATTGTGTGCCAATTCGTCGGCGACTTGGAAACATTGTAACGGCTAAAAATGTCCAGGGCGTTTTCGAGAAGCGACGACTTTGATTAAAACACACTGGCACACACCTGGCCTGGCTAATGTATGTAAACACTCACCTGTATTGTGCAATGGCGAACTGGTATCGAATATGATACCGAAGACGTTTACGGGATAACGGAAAATCCACCGGTTGTACGATAAATCCCCGGGTCCACACTCGGAAATCACACTCGCGTCGACACTGATAAATTAAAAAAAACAATATTTTTCTATTCTTTTCAAACAACGTCGTCGTTATCACTCGCGGGTACCGTATAAGGTCGGGTTTGTTTTCTAACACGGGCACGCGGGTATACGGTCGAGACCAGACTGCCGTGCTTTTTCCCTATACCGGCGGCGGCCGTGGCGGTGGCGTACAATGTTATTGTTGTATCCTTTTACTTGTCGTTCCCTACTCGAAAAATATAATATAATATTAAAAAAAAAAAATACATTACCACTGCAGTGCACCGTCGACGGCGGTTTCTGTCAAGACGGTAGCCAGTGCGCATGCGTCCCACCGAGGTACGTTCACTCAGGGGCCAGAAACCGCGCCGCACCGCGATGTCTTCGAGGCGGCCGCCAGCCACCTTCGAACGTCCTCCCACCCCTCCCTCCGCTTCGGAACGACAACAGTCATCGATGACGTCTCATCCATAGGCGCAAATACGGGGGGGGGGGGGCAAGGGTGGGCTTAGCTAAAAAAATTGGGTTATGCATACGATTTTGAAATACAAAACTATATAATTACTTTTATATATTATATTTAAAAAAAAATTCCAGCCCCCCCCCCCCAAGTTAAAAATTGAAATTGCGCCTATGTGTTGTAGGTGACTACGATAAAATCAAACGTGTTATTTGCAGTGTATTTTTTCGGTCTTATTGTAAGTAAATATAGATTTTAGACAAAATTTTAACTATTTCTACGTATGATCATTTCTTTTCGACATTTTTATACCTACCACAAAATCTATACATTTTTTCGTACATTTTCGCATAGAATAATTTATAATATTAGGCGGTCGATTATAGAAGTATTATTTCAGTGTTCTCAAATAGTAACTGATAGGCCTACCGATCTTAATAAAATTCACACAGTGTTTTAATTATATCTTAGGACTAAGTAAAATATTGTCGCTTTTTAGCTAAAATAACATTTTAGTTTTTAATAATAATTTTGCCGTTTGGTCGTCAAGGCAATTTTTGTCTTGGACCTAGTAAACAACACGATATTCTTCGCATTTTGATCTTGACAGCCCGGATGAACACTCTGAATTATTCTAACCAACCCCTGTTAACATCAAAAAGCTCATTTCGATAATTACATCAAACTTATACTTACTTATTCTTGTTATTTACACTTTTTTTGCATAATTATTTTCAGTTTTTCTACATTCTATTTATTATTTTTGTTTAACTTTTCACACGTTTTTATTTTGTTTTAATTGTTTTTTGTTTATTTCATTGTTTTTTTTATATATATATTTATTAATTTTTTTGACATTTTTCATACGGCATTTCCCAATCACAGGTAAGTTCTTATATATAAGACGATGTTATAAACTAAAGATAAAATACTATTCTCAATTAATACAATAGTGTCTACATACTTTTTTTTCACATCTCGTTACGTTTACTAGGTAATTGTTTTAAATTATGATACACATAATATATTATATGATTGGTTGTGTTCGTACGAAGGGTTGGTTTTATAGGATGTACTTATTTAATAAAACTCTAACAGTGGTCATAGAACCTTAAGGGTTTCATTAATATTTATTACTGAAGGAATTTTGAAAAAGAAATGCTGATAATTTTAACTTACCAAAACCAATTTAATAAACTAAATGACTAGTAATTTTAACTTCTAAGAATTGTACATTTTTTATTAAAAGATAAAATATGTTTTCCAATATGTTTATATAGTATTCTTAGAGTTGTCTCAAATCAAAGTCACGCGACATGCGTTCGGAGCTTATTTTTTAAACACAGTATTATCATAGGACTAAGTTAGAAAATATTGTCACTTTTTAGCCAAAATGGCACCGTTAGAAAGGGACCCTCCGAAATGCTTATTTGACCACACAAAAGACATAAATGAAGACTTTTGGACCTACGACGAAGAAGAGCTATTTCCAGAACGATTCACATACAAGTACTAACGCTTGACAAAATAGTAGCTGACTAGTCGAGTTTAACAACAGCTAGTGTTAATAATACAATTGTTTTTTATGTACAGTTCTTTTTAGCGACATAGACACGGACGAAGAGATTGACATAGACACAGGCCAAGAGATTGACACAGACACAGACGACGACTTAAATAACATTATACCTGAAATAGTATTGGAAGTTTATTTTAATGATAAACAAACATATATATTTTTTTGTAAATTTAAATTCGTTTATTAGTACACTAAAAAATTGCTTACCTGCTTTGTCTCACTAAATATTATTACATTTTAATAATACTATAATATTAGTCAATTAGATTACTAAAGACACACATAACTTCTGAATTTAAAGAGAGGAAAGTAGAATCAACCAGACAATGAACTTATGTCCAACAACTTGGAAACGATGGTACCAGCGCAAGCCGAATAGGTGACAATTAATGTCACCCACTGTCGTTACCAACAATGATTTTATTTTATTTTTCATTATTTTCAAACTTTTCATATTAGTTTATATTATATTGTACATGAGGTACCACTTTGATTTGTATATTTTGTTGAATGTCAACTGCATATGTTTTTATAAAATATAATTATTTTTTAAATGATAAACTTATCACTTTATTGGCTATGGACCATAGCCTTAATTGTTTATAAATGTAGGTTTTCTTTTAAAACTTGAGTAAATGACAATATAATTGATAATTTTATTTACATTTTTGGAAAATTAAGATCTATGTGCTGAAACAAAATCTATGGTAGTATGACAGATGTTGATGGCACCTTCCAACTTTTGGGGAAAAAAAAACATTTTAAGTTTTCTATTTATTTAAAATTCTAAATCTTAGCATCCATTGCTTGATAACGAAAGCACCCACACAAGTCATATTTTGTCAATTTGATAACATCAATTTAAAAAGATATCACTATAATTACACTAAAAAATGATGAAATCCAATTAAAGAAACGTAAAATCCACATAATGGCGTTGTCCAATGTCCGTCTATATTAAACCCGTGTTTTGTGACTGAAAGCTTACAAAATAATAGCAGATAATTGGAAATTATATTAAATAACCACTACAAAAGTATACACATACGACATACTCCTTAAAAAAAATCTTAAGATAAATCTAAGAAAATATGGCGTATGAAGAGTCGCAAATCTAACTATAAAAAGGCAACCCCGAGCACTAACAATCTAAGATTTTTTTTAAGCTTCAATGCGTTAAGTTTATCAAACAAACAAAAGTAAGTAAAATTTAAAAACAGCTTGCTAACCAATATATTGTTTGGTGACATAGTTATTTATAACAATTACACGGTTTTTATTGTTGTACTCTCATCGATGATTTTCAACGGTACAATCACAGAGCAACCAGAAGGGAAACCCATCGCGACATAGATAAGAGGATACTTTAATGAAAAACCATACAAAATCAAATAACATCAAAGATAAAATGGGAAAATTACACTTTTACTTAGTAGTAATTTTCTAGGTTGCTATGGCGTGTGCCGTGACTTGGCAGTGACTGCCAAGTATTGGAAATATTTTCATTATAGTATTGTTAATTACCATGTATGGGTAACAACGACAATACATTACTATAAACAACCCTAATCGTATCTACCCTCATGCGAAAAATACTTTTTTAGCACGTTATGTCATTACAATATGGCTTTATCGGTATTTGTAATTCTGCCATTACGGATTCACATGGAAGCGTTTATTTGAAAGTGATTTATCACTTCCTGTTTTAATAACTAATATAATATACCTGTGACTTTGGCCTAGGCCTAGGCCAGGACTAATAACTGTTCCATTCTGGTTATTCTGTGGCAGAAACATGTTTACACAAAACAGATAATAGTACCTTTCTAAGTGATTTTAGACAGATAAAACACGTCTAATAAAAATGATAGAAGACAAGATTTCCGAGAGAACTTTGTGTGTGTTTTCCAAAATGTCGATTAGAAAAATAGTCACTTTAATATGACGTACAAATTATTGCAATGGAACGAGATTAAAAAACACAGATTGAAAAAAAACGTGGGATATTTAAAGTCCTTAAACATACATACTTGGATGGAATTTCAATTTATCTATCGGGAAAAACTAAAAAAGTGGATTATTATCATTAGTAATTTTCTTAAATTTTTACCTAACCTTCAAAATCTAAAAAAAAATACCAACATACATTTCAACTCGAGGGGATGGAAAGCAGCCCGTTTTTTTTTTTACATTTTAAACCAAAAATCCGAACAAAATGTTGATTGTATTGTAGTCGGATTTCAATTATGTAAAGAAATACTGAGAGTTTTTTGGCTGGTTTTAGTTTTCATCAACCTATTCGTTTCGGTATGCCTTTGCACAAATATATAGCATTTCCCCTTATGATTATCCTATGTCTTCGGTTTTCCAATTTCCAGTAGCCCATAAAATGTATACTTATGTTCGCATTGTCCAGACACAATGAAATGTTTTGAGATAATGACAGACAAGGTCCGCTATCTACCTATTCCAACGCGGTGACAGTATATTATCGATGGGGATCAACATATTTTAATTTAATGGCAAATAAAAGTGCTACCGTTGTAAATACCGAACGAATATTGATCATCGATTCTGGATGTTTAGATTCTTGTTTGAAAAAAAAAAACCTGATCCATACTTGTTCTTTTACGTACAAGCGACGAAGGTAAAAATGTTCTAAGCAAAATCAGTGTCCATTACATGCGCACCCTGTATACCGCAGCGGGGACAGCCACCCAAAAAATGGGAATTTTTCCCCCGCTTTTTGGCGCGAAAAGTGAATCGACGAAGGTTTTTCAATTTTTTTCCAAGACGTTTTTATCATAATATAAAATCCGTGAAGACCGTTGACCACGGCCAGCGTTGTACCCACTACGTCTTGGACACGGTTTGTTATTTAAAAAAAAAAAACGTTAATCGTAACAAAAAAAATCGGTTTCCAAAGACACGTACAGGCTATTATAATAGTATACAGTATATGACAATTATTATACCATCATGCACACAACACACACGTCGTCTGCCTCGGATCGTCTGGTGCGATGCGCACCCAACGGGCTTCTTCGGCAGAGATGCGCGGGCCAAGACGGCGGTGGTCGGATGACGGCAAGAGCAACGTCCTTCGGCCTTCGGTTTAGGCATCGATCGCGCGGTGTTCGGAATGCGCGCAGCCGCCGTAT